GTCTCGAACCCGCGGGCTCAGGCAATCCACCCACCTCAGCCTCCCAAAGGCGTGGGATTACAGGCTGAGCCACCGAGCCTGGCCCCCATGGGTTTTCTTTAAGTTCCTTCTATGTGCCAAGTTCCCTCAAGTCAGAAGACCTTTGCAGACGCTATTTCTTCAGCCTGGAACACTCTTCCCTCACTTTTTGTGCCCTCTCAACTCCCATTCACCCTTCAGATCTCGGGGCAAGCACTTCTCAGAGGCCTTCAGTGACCACCCTGATCGAGCCCAATTTCTCTCTCAAAGACTCTCAGAGCCCCATGTTTCTCTTCTTTTTGTCACTTATTGCCAATGCCATTTTCCATGAGCTTGAATGAATATATAATTAAGATTTCTCTCCTCTCACCAGATTGTACAGTGTCTGTTTATGCTTATTCAAACATTGAATTCCCAGCACCTAGAAACCACACTACCTGGTGCTTAAGAGGCACTCAAATGTTTTTTGGGGTTTTTGTTTTTCTTTTTCTTTTTCTTTTTTGTCAGGGTCTTACTCTGTAGCCAGGCTGAAGTACAGTGGCATCATCACAGCTCAACACAGCCTTCATGCCCCACCATGACTGGCTAACTGTTTTTTTTTTTTTTTTGGTAGAGACAGGGTCTCGCTGTGTTGCCTAGGCTGGCCTCAAACTCCTGGGCTAAAGCAATCTTCACACCTTGGCCTCCCAAAAGTGCTGAAATTACATGCATGACCCACCACTCCTGGCCTCAAATGTTTTTGAATAAAATTAAAATTACATGTACTGTATCTTAGTATAGCATTTTTAAATTATCACCTGCTAATTCTTTTACTGTTTCCTTAAAATAATTCACTGTGATATCTTGAATAGAGATGATAGCTTCTTCAGCCCGTGTGGTCCATTCTTTGGCTTCTTTCTCTAGGGAAGCTATCCTTCTAGGACCCAGGTTATCCTTATCCAAGGACTTCTACAGAAAGAAGGGAAAATTATCTTAATAAAAAATAATAGTTATGTGAAGTCATAATGAAACTGGTCACATAGCTTGTTTTAAATACTTTTATTACTACTTAATTCAATTTTCATTCATTCAAACAATACCTTGCTGAATAAAGTTCTAAGCTGAGCACCACCTAGAAGACAAAGAGATACTCTGGGGTATAAAGGGGGAAAAATCGACTTCACTTTGCATAACTAGAATAACTTTTTCTAGATAGGAATGCTGTCAAGTTATGTTTCTCTTTATAAATAATAATACACAATTGTTTAAATGTCAAGCCCGGTACACTGCACTCAAGTGTTAGTATTGTTGTGGTTTCTCTTAGGGATATGACAAGAAGCTTTTATATACCATGGTTCTTTTCTGAAGGGCAAAAGTGATATATCACCTAAAAGATAGTAAAATCTGTGTATTCGTGATTATGACATGCTTGGTATGGACTGAATGTTATATCACCCCAAAATTCATATGCTGAAACCTATATCTCCAATGTGATGATATTTAGAGTTCAGAACTTTGGGGAGTCATGATGGTATATCCCTCATGAATGGGATTAATGTCCTTTTAAAGAGTTGAGGATACACAGTATTTCTCTCTGTACTTCACTAGGAAGACACAGCAAGAGAGTCATCTCCAAATCTGAAGTGAGCCCTCACCAGACACCAGATCTGCTAGAACCTTGATCTTAGGCTTCCCAGCCTCCAGAACAGTGAGAAAAAAATCTCTGTTGTCTATAAGCCACCCAGTCTATGGTACTCCATTATTACAGCCTGAACTAAGACATGTACTAAATCATCCAGCATTCCATTTTTCTTCTACAAAGCATGATTTAGAGACAAACAAAATACGTACAGGTGAGCCATCAGGGAAATGCAAATCCAAACTATAATGAAGTACCACTTTATATCCACTAGAATGATTGTAATCAAAAAGACAGATAATAACAAGAGTTGGTGATAACGTGGACAAATTGGAATACTTATTTACTGCTTTTGGAAATGTAAAATGGTACACAGGCTTTGGAAAATAGTCTAGTCATCCTTCACAAGGTTAAACATTGAGTTACCATATGACCCAGCAATTCTACAACAGCTTTACTCATAATAGCCAAAAAGCAGAAACAACCCAAATTTCCATCAACTGCTAAATGGGTTAAGTAAAATGTGGCATATCTATACCATAAATATTATTTTCAATAAAAAGAAGTGAAGTCCTGATACATGCTCCAGCATGGATGAACCTAAAAACATTATGCTAAGTAAAAGGAGCCAGTCACAAAGACCACATACTGAAAAATGCCATTTACATGCAATGTCCAGAATTGGGAAATCCACAGAAACACAAATTAGACTGGTAGTTGTCCAGGGTTGGGGAGAAATAGGGAATGACTGCTAGTGGGTACAGGGTTTCTTTTTGGGGTTAAAAATGTCCTGGAATTAGATAGTGATGATGATTACACTAAAAAACAGTGACTTGTACTCTAAATGTATGGTCTGTGAATGGTATCTTAACATAATTGTTACTTAAAGAAAAAATACATGCAAGAAGTAGACTCTCCAAATAAGATTTTCAAAATAATGAATAGAACAATTTCATCCACAGATTAGAATGGCATGAGTTTCATCGAAATGTGATGCCAATTTTATAGTACAATACTGTAACCTAACAGGGATTATAAGAGTATGTGTGAAAAAATTGCCACATGCAGGGAACAGAGATCAAGAGATCTCTGATGTTTCCTAATTCCAGTTGTTGAGACTCAAGGCAAGTTATTTAACTTCTCTGGACTCTAGATTCACTTGTAACACACTGGCAAAATAACAATACCTTTTCTAACTAGTGTCACAGGTTATTCAATGTCTCAATGGAATAAGAACAATGACAGTATCTACTAAAATTTAAATTACTGAATTGCAATCCAGGGCCTTGCTATTTAAATTTTCTTTTCTTTTTCTTTTAAATATGTAGGGTACAATTCAAGGTTAGGTATACAAATGTTCATTATGCAGGTACCCTTGTTGATGAGGTTAAATTTTCATCCTGGTCAGGCACAATGGCTCACACCTGTAATCTCAACACTTTGGGAGGGAGAGGCAAGAGGATTGCCTGAGCCCAGGGGTTCGAGACCAGCCTGGGCAACCTGGTGAAACCTTTTCTCAACAACAAAATAAATTTAAAAAATTAAGCCGGGCTTGGTGGCTCAGCCTGTAATCCCGCGCCTTTGGGAGGCTGAGGTGAGTGGATTGCCTGAGCCCGCGAGACCTCATCTCTACAATAAATCAAAAAATCACCCGGGCGTGGTAGTGTGCGCCTGTAATTCCGGCTACTTGGAAGGCTGAGGTGGAAGGATCACCGGAGCCCTGCAGGTCGAGGCTGCGGTGGCCGGGAGCGGCCACTGCACTCCAATCTGGGCGACAGAGTGAGACTCCAACTCAAAAAAAAAAAAAAAAAAAAATTAGCCACCAGTGGTGGTACACTCCTGTAGTTTCAGCTACGTGGAAGGCTGAAAAGAGGGATCGCCTCAGCCCAGCTGGTCAAGGTTGCAGTGGCCATGAGCAGTAGCCACTGAGACTCTGACTCAAAATAAGTTAATTAATTAATTAATTTTCATCCTATGTCTAAGAAATATGCATCTGTCCTTGGAGATGGAAAACAAGCTGAAGCAAATAAATGTCACATCAGAAACAATTCATCAGCAGAAAAAGTGCTTAACCCTTTAATATCTGCAGAAATCTTTAGGCATTAAGAAGATGACCAATGTATATCTCCATTTTTTAAATCCACTTTAATTACAAATTCAATATCAAAACATTAGAGGGAACCCAAAGTACAATGCAGATTGAACCTAAAGAAACAATATATGGCCGGGCTCGGTGGCTTAGCCTGTAATCCCGCGCTTTGGGAGGCCAAGGTGAATGGATTGCCTGAGCCCGCGGGTTCGAGACCCGCCTGGGCTACTTGGCGAGACCTCATCTCTACAATAAATAAAAAAATTAGCCAGGCGTGGTAGCGCGCGCCTGTAATTCCGGCCTCTTGTAAGGCTGAGGTGGAAGGATCGCCGGAGCCCAGCAGGTAGAGGCTGTGGTGGTCGGGAGTGGCCACTGCACTCCAGTCTGGGCGACAGAGTGAGACTCCAACTCAGAAAAAAAAAAAAAGAAAAAAGAAACTATATATGACATAAAGTAAATCTGATAAAGTAAAAATATAAATAAAACATACCAAAATATCAAGCTTACATGAAGTTGCAACTTCTCGCATATCCCTAAATGGCTGCAGTAAATACTGAAAGAACATGGTTGCCGCAGTAACAAACTCCTGGTATGTTTCATCTTCCTCTTGATAAACTTTCATTAATGCTACCATTGTGTTGGCATTTCCATGTCCATGAAGAATCTAGAAGGTAAAATGTAAAAAAAGTTCAAGTCTGAACAGTATAAAATCACTACCAAACAAAAGTAAACAATTGAAATCTTCATGTTCTCACCTTGAATACGTTAATTGTAAACATTGATTAAATATGAAAATGTTATTAGCCTCCAACAAAAATGCCCAATAAAACAAAAATGTCAGCCGGGCTCGGTGGCTTAGCCTGTAATCCCGCGCCTTTGGGAGGCTGAGGTGAGTGGATTGCCTGAGCCCGCGGGTTCGAGACCCACCTGGGCAGTGAGCCCTCATCTCTACAATAAATCAAAAAATCAGCCGGGTGTGGTAGCGCATGCCTGTAATTCCGGCTACTTGTAAGGCTGAGGCGGAAGGATCACCGGAGCCCAGCAGGTCGAGGGTGCGGTGGCCGGGAGCAGCCACTGCACTCCAGTCTGGGCGACAGAGTGAGACTCCAACTCAAAAAAAAAGTCAAACAAATGATCATATATCCAGAGTAGAATATTATTACTATAGTCATTCAGCACTGTGCCTTTGAAGACTGTTTAATAATGTGGAAATTTTTATATCAAATAGAGGAAAAAGCAGAGTAAAAATTTTATCTCAACTATGTACTAAGTACACAGAGAAAAAGACTAAAGAGTCATTAATGAGGAACAAAGGGAGGTCCAAACTTGACCTGTACAAATAACCACTTATCTACAATCCTGAATTGTACCCCACATCTTTAAAGAAAAAAAAAAAGAGTCATCAAACGTTAACAGCAGTTATCTCTGGGTTGTAGATTATAGATACTTTTCCTTTCTACTTTTCTGGATGTAAAAGTTTTGTGAGTCTGTACTCCTTTATTAAATGTTCAGAAAGGCATTATAAAGATGTCTCTAAGTACTTCTCCGGCATGTTGATTCTTTTAATTCCCCAGATTAATATTCCCACCAAGTCTCTAGCAGCTGATTTATTTACAGAACCTAGGCTCTAGCTCTAGTCTCTTCTGAGCACTGATGCAGGGTAGGGAAAAAAAAAAAACCAAACAGTTTAGAGTCTAGGGAAATTCATTTGGTAGAAAATTATCTTACCCCTAGAAGAGAATCAAGAAATAGTATAGATTTTTTTTTTTTCCAACCAGCACAAATTCTTCTATTTCTTCCTTGTACTTCAGGATAAAGTGATCTACTTTCAGCTGTGATTTTATCCAGGTGATAACAGTAGTGTTTTAAAAAGTGAAAGGTTTGCTGAACAAAATTAAAGCACACACATGCATAACTAAACTTAAAGAAATGGATATTTTCAGCCTTATTTCTTAGACTATTCACAAAAATTCCAGAGTTAAAACATTCAGCTTCATTTTACATATCCTAGCAATACTAGCAATTGGTCTAATTCCAGAATCAATTACTTTTCTTCTAAATGTAAGTTGAGTATTAAAATTATATGCATGTCCACAGATACAGTAAGTTTTGTATTTAAGCCTCTCCTCCCCCTCCTCCATTTTAAAATGCCAGGTAAAAATGGGAATACTAATGTGAACAGATACTTCAACAGTATGAAATATATTAGTGCTATAATACCCTTGAATGAACTTCAATTTGGAAAAAGTATAACTTTTCCAGTAGTAACCATTGCACATATGTAAATGTTAGTGTTTAAGGAGAAACTACATATCTTTGTGAAAAAACAAGTGGGTAAAAAACAGAAGTTTGATACAAAATGATAAAGTTCAAGATCAAAAGCTGACTGGCCTGAAACATTTGCTGTGGTTTCCTCATATTCTAAAGTGACAGTGATAAAGTTAAAGATCAAAAGCTGACTGGCCTGAAACTCCTCTGTGGTTTCCTCATATTCATAAGTGAAATCAACATGTGAGAAGTAGGTGTATAGATATTTACACACAAAAGCCACAGTATGAAAATGATCCCACTAACAAAATGCTTTTATAACCACTTTAATTTAGAAAGCTCATTATTCTCTATTTAGCGTAAGAGGTTATAATTTTTATTTTGAAATGTGGCAGAATTCTTCTCTCACACCTTCCCTGCCTCAAAAGAATGCACAGGAAAAAAAATCATTCCGGCTAATAACTGTCCAAATGAGGAAGGGCAAGCAGACATGTTCAGGGTGTAAAACACCAAATTTTGGCTCTCCTTGGTCAATGTGGTCCATATGTGAATATGGACATAAGTCACATTTTCTCCTGTACTTCCCCCTCCCCTTAGGTTCTGTAAGGTTACCATCCAAATAATGAATTGTTCTGTCTCTCAAACTACCTCTTTCAAGCTTAAAAGAACATTCCTGTGGTTATTCCAAATTGATGAAGAAAGCTCACTTTGTCAGCTTTCCATTTGACCAAATCTATATTACTTAAAAAAGAAAAAATCCTAAAAGCCATTTCACCTTTTAAAACGTTTACCTTATTCTTGATCTTCCCTCATATACAGATCCCGGAATTTTTGACATTTTTATGTAAATGCTTCCTTTCCTACATGTTACTGTGTTGTTTTCAGTTTTGCTTTCAATAGTTCGAGCACTTCCGGTGACAAAATCCTGCTCTGCCAGTATCTTCAGGGAAAAGGTGAAGAGCCTAGCCCAGCCCCTAACCGCAAATAAGCCTCGATCTAACTTAAGTTTGTCGCCTCCCTAGGCCTCATAGCGCTCCCGTGCCATTTCCCGGGCTACTGCCCTACAGGCGAGGGCACTGGCGGGCCCGCGGTTCCTCCGCGCGCACCTGCTCCGGAGGCTGACCGCCGACCCCGTTCCCTCTAAGCACCGGAAGAGCCCGCGGGTCCGAGGCGGTGCGGGCGCTGCGCGGCCCGACCGGCGCCTACCTGGTGCAGTCGCGCGCCCGCCTCGGCCCACCGCGCCCGCAGGGCCTTCTCTCGGAACTCGCGCGGGCTCTCGCA